CCCCAAAACCCCAAAACCCCAAAACCCCATACTCCTCAATATTATTTAAAGTTAGAAGCAGTAAATTTACATTAAAATATTTAATCATTAATAATATAAATAAGATAATTAGTAAAAATGATATAAGGTATTGCAAGAAAGGCTAACCTAGATTCAAGACAACCAAGAGCCTCTATATTTGATAAGGATTCGTTGCCTTTTGAAAATTATGTGCCGTTTCAAAACCCACTCAAAATAAAAAGGAAAAAAAGCAAAAATATCATCGATCCTTATCATAGTAGCAATAATTAAGAAGACGATCAAAACTAAAGATAGCTTTTTAGAATAAATAGCTTTGTCGAAGAACCAAAGCAGGAATCACCAGTAAACATTAAAATGCGTAGAGCTTTGCAAAGAAAGATTTTGACTGAGATAGAGGATGAATCTAACAATATTAAAAATGAGCTTAGACTAATAATAGCAGGTTAAAACTTGATAGAAAGAGACAATTAGTAACGAGTGTGCAACACCTCATTTGATTGAGTTAATCTACTAAACAAATTGTATATGCGACAGAGAGAAAACGAGTAATTCAATGAATATTTTGTGGAACTCATAAAACATATATACAAATTGAAATTCAATCTAAACTATTAAATGGACAGCTCTAAAATCTACAAGTAAATGAGTTTCACGATTCCCACTCAAGAGTATAAAGTATTCCAGGAAAATATGAAGAAAAGAGAGGGACCTAATAAATTTTAGAAAGCTGTATCTACACTATCTAAAAATAGCAAGTTAACTTCCCTGCTGTCAAATATTGTGATGAAGAAACAGAGTTTGCAGTCAGTAGGTATTAGTGAATTTAGCTTTGGAAATGATTGATTGGATGAGTCTATTATTAGTTCAGCAGAAAATAATCTCAACACCTCCCAAAAATTAGTAACTATAATGCATTCAGAGAGTCCTACTTGAGAGCCAAGCAGCGAGGAGTAACCAAACACAATCACCATAGATGATAATTTACCCCCGACAGAGTTTTTGCCAGAGGACTGCTAATTGCTTAATGTCGAGTACTCCTCCTCAGTTTAGAAGCGATGTTTTTGCTAAAAAATGATAATTCATTCTTGTAGTATTTAAATTTAACCTCAGGAATTCTAACACTCTCAACTTAAAATTGAAAATCTAACTTACATCTAGCTCGAATACTTCTATCAAAAACGAGCATCTCGGCAAAAAAAGATGAAAATTCATCATATATAACTAGCTGAAATGGAAGAGGGCGAAAATAGGCTAGTAAGGTATTTAAGGAAGAAAAAAAAATTCACATCTTACTATAAAGTAAGCTATACAGATATAGAGAGAAACGCCGTTGTTGGATTGCTAAAAATTGAAAATCATAATAAAATTATAATAAAAACATGTAATTTAAAAACCTTGTATGAATTAGAATGCATATAAGGGAGACTCATATTAAATTCAATCAGTTCAAAGTAAAAGTTATAAGAATCCCTCTTAGTTTAAAATTCAAATAGCGTTGAAGTAAGTTTTCCTAAATTCTTTAGTTGGAGAGAAAAAGTATTAGTGTTAGCCTGTAATATAATGTTATAAATAAATAATCCTAATATAATTTTAACCCCAGTTCATTAATGAACTTTACATTATAGCATTTCTTATTTCTACTATTTTAAATATAGTTCATAATGGGGTTTTGGGGTTTTGGGG